ATTCGTTGAATGCAATCGGATCCTCCGCGAACTTTTTCTCCATTCGGCAGGAAAGAAGTGGAGTGGAGTCCAGGTTTCCTGTGTTGTTGGCAAGGCAATTGGTCGAGATGGCATCGACACAGTTTATGTTCTTGTGCAGGTTTCGAAAGGGCGCCCTCACGTCTTCCCGAATGACTACATGTCTCAGCCTTCATAGAAGGCGGGGTGATGTGGACGGGCTGCCACTTGCCGGTTGTTGATGGACTGGTGTGGCCAGCACTTGGCGTCTCTGCACTGGGGAAGCCGGCGGGACCCGGCACACTGCTCAAAGAGAACACAATACCGACGTCAGGGCGGCACTGCAGCTAAGAAGATTTCGGGTTTTTTGACTGAGCGTTCTGCATAACGAACGCAGATTTTGGCCAGTGAAGGCCCAAATTGGTAACGAACGTTTGTACATTTGCCGCACGAATGGCTTCATCGTCATCATTATTTTTTACATACCAAGGCAATGAGGTGGCCGTTGAACGGCTTCACAAGGATGCTGGATGTTTGGGCGTGGGTTTTTCAGTCAGGCGAAAGGATGATCTGAATGGACCTTTGCTACTTGTCGAAATCAGATCTGATTCTAGAATCGAGTGCCACGGGCAAATGTAATTTGCTGTATACACTGCAGGTTTCTGGCGATCGAAGAAGGGGCGCTTGTGGCGCCCACTGTCATTTCTTGATTGATGTGCTGCTTATCCCCCAACCGCAGTTCTTCAAGGTCGGGATAGACCTCGTTCAGGCGTGGTACTCAGTGTGTGTGCTCCTGGCATTCCTGTTCTGCCTTCACCAGATAGGCACGTGTGAACCTAATCAGGAAGAAGGCACTGTTGGGGAAGCCCATAAATGGAGAGCGCACTCCTCCCGGAACAGTTGCCATCCAGCCCGCCCCCACCCCTTCGCCTCACTTCTCCTGCCGGTCCTCCTCGCCTTGAGAAACCCCTTCGATAGATGTGAGCCAACCCCTTGGCGCCCGTTGCCTGGCCTGACAGGTTCCCACGCTGACGTGTGCCCTCGCGCCAGGTGTACCCGCTCATCAGCGCCATGGGACTGGCCGTGGGCCTGGTTGGCTACTCCGGCTCCCGCTGCCTTTACAACAACCCGGAAGTCTTGTAAGTCTCGCGGCACTCGTTGCTTTTCTCCCGCCGCCCGTGCTCTCCCGCTGCGTCGTGCTCTGCACGCTGTATTTTGCCTCCCCGCGGCACAGCAGTCCCCGATCTGACTCCGGCGCCCACGTGTTGTGAAAAAGCATCAACAAGAAGCAGCGCAACGATCAGCTGGCGGAGAACACGGAGTGGTTCACCAGGAAGTCGTCCCAGTACCACGAGTCCGCCTTTCGCTCCATCGGACAGGTGAGGTGACCGTCCGATGTTTGGAGCGGGTGCGCTTAGAAATTGGTGCGCCACGGCGCTTTGCAGCGTCTCGAGTCGGCAGTCCCCGCCGCTCGGCGCCCTGGGGTATGTCGCTGAACACGTAAGGGCCCTTCGAACTTTGCTCCCCCGGTGCTCGGCGCCTTTGTGATAGCTGCGGATTCTTCGCTCTGCGCAGCCCATCTGGCGCGATTTATATCCGTAGCGCTGAGCAACCGCACTTGGTTTGCGGCGTCTGCCCTCACGCTGTTGAGCGAGGTCGCAATCCCCAACCGCGCCATCCTGCCCCTCCCCAACGGTGGCCGCTGCGCTCCTTCTCTTGTTTGGCCATCGATATCTTCGCGGCGCCGGTGGCTGATGCCGCTCGCGGCTTCCTTCCCTCGTTTGTGCGCTGGGCTGTCCGCAGAAGCCAAACAGGGAGGGACCGTTTGGGCGTTGTCACGGGCCCTTGCGGGTGGGGGAGAGGGTCGTTGTGCGACAGAACGACACGCGACGGGACCCGTCGCCACGGTGTCGATAGATACGCGCTGACGCGGAACACACGTGCCAACGGATCAGATTCGATCCGAGGGACCAGCCTGCGTGGATAAACTGAGCAATCCACCTCCTGCTGTCCTTGCATTGGATAGAATGCGAGGTTTGCATCTTAGTTTGGGAAGCAACCGACGCGACCTGGTAGAGTCGGGTGCGTGAGTGGCGGTGCAGCATCCCCATCATGGAACAAATGGTGGTTTGGGAGTGACTCCCTATTGTTGGTTTCTATCGACTGATCGATTTCCCCCGGGGTGGGGGGGTGGGGGTGGGGTGGGGGTGGGGGGGGGGTATGTTGACTGCGCATCTTCGCGTCGTCGTCTCGCATCCTCTATGTCTCCTGGGGGCTGTACAAAACGTTCTTTTGCTTTCAATCCCAGCATACCTTCTCATGTCGTGTTGAACGATTTATCAGCAGTCTCCATCAGGAGGCTCCTTGGAAGCGGAAAGTGCCAGAGTGACGCTTGTCATTCAAATGCGCATGCCCGTGTACTGGTAACAACCAGCTAGGATTCCACTTTTGAGGTAATTTCAGGACAAACTGTCTACGAATTCCAACAACTTGCATTCAGGTCGGGTTGAAAAGGGAGGTGACCAACCCAACGGGGTAGCCATGATTGCGTACCGTATGCAGAGGTGTTGTCTTGAAAATGTCCTCACTAAATGTCGATTTGGTTGTGTCCCGAACTTCTGAGTTTGTGCGCAGAACTTGGCTCCTGTTGATGTGCCAATGCATGTATGTCACTTAATCTGCTTTTTTCACACGTCCATCCGCTCTGCGTGATGCCGTTTGCCATGTGCCTCACCTTCCACGTGCCACTGAATTGTAAACACTGCTTGTGCTGCGATAGGCGTGTGGAAAGGCACAGATTTTCCCCAACCACTACTTCACAGCACCCGGCAAATGAAAGGACGCACAGAAGAGGAACGGGGCCAGGAATTTTGCCGCTGCCGCACCCCTACGTTTACTGTTCTTCAATGTGGATTTTGAAGCCTCCTTCGCCTTGGATGCCTGTGTCAATATCAACTGGAAGGACGAAAACCCATGCGCTTGTAAGCTTCAACGCTGGTAGTGAAAGTTTTGAAGAGAAGTTTTGAAGTGAAGTTTGACGAAAGACGTGTGTGTATGTGTTGTACGGTTGTGTGTGATATTGAGCCAAATAGGGGGAATGAACGAATGGAGTTCGCGTTGCATCCCTTGCCAAACACCTAGGAACGACGTTCCTAGGCTTGGACAAGGGTTGTCTGCGCAGAGAGATGACCATCAGCGGCTTTGTTGTGTGGAGCTGGCCCGCAACGATGTAAACTCATGTGTTGTGACCGGACACCCATGGATCCAAGCTGGGGCAGGGGTAGCACCCACAACAGGCATCTTCCGTTGCCCACTCGACTTTACCAGCCCACATGGCATCAGAGGACGCACAGTACTTCCGCCAGAGGAATCTAAGATGGTGGCTCTAGACTCCAATTAATTCATCCAGTACCGTCACTACCGTAGTGAAAAGAACCATCTAATGAAAATCAGTTCACGCGCCCGAATGAGACCTTACTGCAAAGCAGCCGTGGCTTTCCATGTATAGCCGTTCAGCGGAACTGTGGTATTGAGAGTTAGGGTGGGGTGCACCCAACGTTGGATGGCTTGCAGCCAAACATGCAGGCGAATCGGCTGCTCAAAGAATTGGAGATGTCCAGCCCAAAGATGTTTCAGTAGATGGCTCCATTTGAATTTGGCAAGCGGACAACAATTTGCAGTATGAATATTGTGTGGGCTGCTTCATCTTGTGTGGCACCTGTCGGGTGCGGGATTTGCAGTCAACAGTACTAGTGATGAGGATGTGGGCATTTTCCAGAAGAGATTACCTGTCGTTATGAATTTCGGTGGCTACTCATTGAAAATCGCATGCTGAGCATCGACGCCAGTGCGCAGAGATGATTGCACGAAACTTTTAGCGCGTTGGGTGGTTTGACCAAAGTGAGCCAAACCATGCCAACCTTATGCATGCGGGGCTCAAAAACCATATTAACGTGGTTTGGTTCGACAGAATTTCCGCAGGCAATCGGTTTTATTCGCGAAACCAATACGAGTCCCAAACAAACTCGGGCTTTTTTTAACTGCCTCATATTGACAAAGTTGCAAATTCCAAACCGGATTTCGTGAAAGAATACGGCATGCCGTACAGCGCATCCAGCCTCTAAACCGAGCCAGGCCCCAGGTCCACATGTCCAAGCGACTGCAAACCAAAGCCATGCGAGATAGCTTCATTGCAGCAACGCAACAACGCAGGCAGATATCCAGCGCGCTGATCCGACAGTCCTGCGCCAGAGTCAGACCTCGAAGCACTGGTCCCCCATTACAAATGACGTGCAGAGAGAATGTTGCGTGGGGCGTCTGGTCCGAAAGATTTCCTGTCAGGATTCCTTTCGGAGGACTCCTTCAGAGATTGGGCCCTCGCCCACAATGTGCAGTTACTGAGAGCACTATTTCACTGCTCAACTTTGTTTGCAAGGGCTTCTTGTACTGGAGGGGTTGAGGTTGCAACGTTTGGAAATGACGTTATGAATAAAGGGACACTTGTGGCATTTTTGTATGCTGGCTGTACCTGAGTGATGAGGTGGCACATGGTTGAATTGCCGTGTGATTGAATTGCCATATGGGTGTTTGTGGTCGGTGGGGTCCCAAGCGGTCCACGTAGGGAACCGTGTGCTTGCGTGAAAAGAAAATTGTTGAAATAAGCGCCATTGTCGACAAGAAAATTGTGCTCGAGCGCGGACCTGGACGAGCAAATCTGTAAACCCGAGGTGTGTGGGAGCCATGCCTTCACGTGGGCCTGTTTGTTGGCTCCGTCGGACCACCGATTGAAGTGTGGAAGCCACCCTCGCGTAAGCCCTGCAGGGGCGGTTTGAGTCATCACTCGACCGGCATCCTGGAACCCTATTGCCCACCAATCTTCGTCTTGGCCACCATCCACTGCTTCCCAAGGAACCGCCGTAAAGGCCGTGATCTGTCGCCCTGGCGAAGGCGCACAGGGGGTCAAAGCGCGCTCCCCGCCGTCCATCGATGGGCGCCGCGTGCCGATGGAAAGAGGACTGATAGCTCGGAGGACCGGCGGCACAAATCGACTGACATGCGGCCCTGGGACGCCCACATGGGCTGCCTTGGGCCCCGCCAAGCGCGTTGCGATGCGGCCACGGCGCAACGGGCCGGCCCGTCCTTTTGGGCCCTTCCGCCTGATGGCCGTGTCCGAGGCGAAAGCCGATCCACCAGCGGCGTGGCCCAAGCGATGCAGAGCGCCTGAAGTGCCGCCTACCAGTGAGCCCAAGGTGCGGAGGGAACGGGATGCGAGGCCTTGGGCCTGTTAGGTCCTTGCGCAGTTTCTGTGTGGACACGGATGAGGATATTTCAAGAAGCTGCATCTTTGAGCTGGCCATTTGGAGTTTCAGATGGAACTGGATTGCCAAAGGAATTGAAGTCAATGTTCTGCTGCGCGGAAATGTGATGATCAGCACCAATCAATGCCGAGTATGTGGGAGTTTGTCTTTATTTCATTCTTTTCTGTCAGACAATTGGCTCCGTCTTTCCCCTTGGGGCCTGATCAGACCCTTGGACATTACCATCTCTTCTACGTTCTGCCATCGAGGTTCGTGCTTCACGAACAAGCAGTCGTTGGACGGTACGACGCCCCTTACACACTTCCAAGCTGCAGGGTTTGTGATGTGGTCATGGAATGTTGATAACGACGTAAGCCACGGAGTTAAGCTGTGCACGACAGACATTGGTAATCGAATGTTGGACACACTCAAACGTCTGTTATGGGAAGAACAGCACCTTTGCCAATTTCTCGGTGCGCAGGCGCACAACATGCCGGTGGATCCAGAACTATGGGGTATCTGAAACACTGAGTGATAGACTGGGACAGAGACGTGCAACCTATCGATGCACAAGTCTTTTGACAGAATAAGGTGGCTGGCAGTGGCTTCTCTATGATGTGTCTTGTGCCTGTCCTTGCTCACATTCCATGTTAAAGGGTGCCGTGCGGGAGAATTCATGACCAGACCATTCCATGTTTTCCAGAAAATATCCCTTTTGGGATCAACGGGCTCCATCGGCACCCAAACTCTGGACATCTGCGCAGAACACCCTGAAGAGTTCAGTGTCAGGGCAATAGCTGCTGGCTCCAATGTAGACCTGCTAGCCAAACATGTGAAGGAATTCAAACCAGAGCTGGTGGCCATTCGGGACGCGTCCAGAGTTGGGGCGTTGAAGGAACTCATCGCTGACGTGCATCCGCAGCCAGAGGTGTATGGAGGGGAAGAGGGGGTCATCGCAGCTGCCACACACCCAGATTGCGAGTCTGTTGTCACAGGTCTGGTTGAGGCGATTGGGCCAAATAAGTTTATGACAAACGTTGCTGCTAGACACATTCTGGCATAACATTGAAGTGCGAGGGCAATGCTGTGCTCCATTCCATCACACACACTCAAACGAGTTGTCTCTGTCGCTACAGGCATTGTGGGCTGTGCGGGTTTGAGACCAACAGTGGCTGCGATCGAGAAGGGAAAGAACATCTGCCTGGCCAACAAGGAGACACTCATTGCCGGCGGGCCGTATGTATTGCCCTTGGCAGAGAAGCATTCTGTCCGCATACTCCCTGCAGATTCTGAGCACTCAGCAATTTTCCAATGCCTGCAAGGTGAGTATCGTGGTCCTATGTTGTAAGGATGCTGGGTTGTTGATGCAGTGGTGGTGGTGAATGGCACTTGGTATGGCAATTATCAGTGTCCCGACGCACTGGTGCCACCACTCCGTTGTTGTCCAAAGTAATTTGATTTGCATTGCCTGAATTTGATATGCGAGGTCAATGGCTATCTATGGTTTCGCGCCTGCTTATTTCAGACTCAGAGCGGGCAAGTCAGATTGTCTCTGCCAAGGTGATGTTGCATTTGCCAGTGTTTGCTCATCTTGTGGGAGGGTTTGCTTTGATTCGATGTTTGTTTCGAAATGGCAGACGTAATTGTTGGGTTGGTTGCTCCTGATTGGTAGATTCCTATGCGAATGCTATAGCTATTGAGCCCTGGGACCTCGAAACTTGCCTGGGTGGCCTGGGGAGTCTTATTGGCAGTGGATGCGTGACTGGATCAGTCTGGCACTGTCCGATTGAATCTTTTACAGACACCCAACTACATGTCAAGCCACGAATCCTGTGACACGGCTTCTGTCTGACTCTGACTGCAGTCACCCCTGATCCCCAAAGTAACTTCCCATGACTCGAGGACATTTCGATTTTTTAGCCAGCCACATGCAAGCAATCACCATCTGTGACTGTCTCTGTCAAATTATGTTCAAGCAGTGCCCTGTTGTAACCAAACGATACGAGTTTGCAAACCTCAAGCTTCATCCTGCTGCAGGTCTGCCAGAAGGGGGCTTAAGACGAATCATACTCACAGCATCGGGTGGGGCGTTTCGAGACTGGCCTGTAGAGAAGTTGAAGGACGTCAAGGTTGCTGATGCATTGAAACATCCGAACTGGAGTATGGGAAGAAAAATCACTGTGGACTCTGCCACTTTGATGAACAAAGGCCTAGAGGTCATTGAGGCCCACTATTTGTTTGGTGCGGACTATGACCACATTGAGGCTATCATCCATCCCCAGAGCATCATCCACTCCATGGTGGAAACGGCAGACTCTTCTGTGCTGGCACAGGTGGGGAAGTGCAAGGCCTGTCTGTTCTTGTGTTCTGTGGACATCAAGACTCAGATTGCAGATCGTTGCATGAATGTATCCATATACACAATGTGGTGAAGCAGAGGAGCCATGTCATTACTACTGCTGAGGCATGAAACAGAGATCAAAACTTACAGAATTTGTGACAGACATGGTTTGTATTATGTGTGCCTTTGGCTTTGCCTGGCAACTTCTGGCTGGGTATGCTATTCTGCGGGCATCCCTTCAGTTAACAGATTTGGCACATAAGAGGGTCAAGTATGGGTGCATCAGTACACTCTTGCATCATAGTCGATTCACCAAAACTTTGCGTGTCTTCACAACAGCTGGGCTGGCCTGACATGCGGCTGCCCATCCTTTACACGCTGTCGTGGCCCAACCGTGTCCAAACGTCGGAGGACACTTGGCCCCGACTCGACTTCGTGAAGATGGGGGACCTCACTTTCCGTGAGCCAGACCGTCAGAAGTACCCCGCACTGGACTTGTCGTATGCAGCAGGACGTGGGGGAGGCACAATGACGGGTGTGCTCAGTGCCGCCAACGAAAAGGTGAGAATAGCTTGAGTGCTTTGAAAGCAGATATAGCGGCAGCTCAAGTGCAGCTGATTTCAGTGTGATAAAGGAAGGTTTGGGCTGCAAGAGGGGCCAGGAATAGCGGACTGGTGGTGATCTTGTTCAGAGGTTCCGTGGAGCTCAGGATGCTAAAGAAGCTGAGTCATGTGTTTGGCAAACCAAGCCTTGTGTCCTGTTTTTTCCCAGTCTCCCCCTCCACAATTTTTATTCTGGCACACAGATATGCGGTCATTGCGGATTGGAGGGGTCTGTGGGTGGGTTTCAAATGGGGGGCAATTCCTTGTGTTTCTTACAGTGGGTGCTATTTCGATGTTGGAGGTTGCGTTTGGCTTATTGCACATGTGATGCCTCATGTCGGAGGTGATTGCCACGTTTGCCACCCACGTTGCAACCCGTCGTGCTATGCAGGAACTGGTTGGTGGAGTGCTCTGAATAGTCAATGGACAGAGGTTCAAAGACAGTATTGTCGTTGTTAGATGGAACTGTCATTAGGGCTCGTGACATTGCAGTGCCCCAGTCATGTCAGCCAATGAATGTAAAGACACGAGTTTTTGAAAGTACTCGCATTCTGCAAGAGGTGCACTTGCCCAGCCATGCCTGATCAACGGGTTGTTCTGCAATGCAGGCTGTTGAGCTGTTTTTGGACGAGAGGTGTGGCTATTTGGACATCATCCGTCTGATTGAGTGTGCATGCGAACGGCACCAGGCAGACTTAGTGTCAGAACCGTCGCTAGAGGAGATCGTGCACTATGACCTGTGGGCACGTGACTATGTTGCTGAGCAGGTCGCCAAACTAGGACTCATTCCAGCATGAATACCAATCGGAAACCTGTTCGTTGATGATGAAACGATTGGCTGAAGGGGATGAGCACCATTGGTGGCATTGGCTTGTTGTTCTGCTCCTGGCTCAGTGCGAGAAAATTTGGAAAGTTCACCTCAAGAAGAACGGGATGTCTCCCAAGCTGAACTCGTGCGATTGCCTTCTTTTCTGAATGGAACGAAAATTCACTGGCTGCCAGTTGGTGCCTGACACATTGCATCCAGTTAAGAGGCGCCAATAGGGCGACCAGTCATGTTCTGTGGGTGCAAACACGTGCTTGTATGACATAAGCTGCGTCATAAAGCTGTTGACAACATAAGATCGGCTGCCCACGTTAGCTGAATGCGCTTTCTCATCACCTGTTGATGCCACTCTCCACTGTGTTTCTCAGCCTTCCTGCCATTCAACATGGTTTTTCACAGCACAGAATTCAATGTTGCTCTTCCATTTCCACTGTTGATGTTGTTTTGCATGGAAAGTGATACCTTGTATCTCATGCCAGGGTATTGGGGCTGATTCTCAGTTTTATCAGTGAAGGTTTATGAAGGTGGCAAGGACATGCCATTGAAACAAAAGTCAGCGGCACTGTGGCGATCCACGGCACACTATTTGGAGTCCACAGCAGGAAAACTTTGGCCTGCGCCAAACTCTCCTGGCCCTGTAACGCCCTGCGACACAAAGGCGTGCGTGCGTGGGGCAAACGCTATCAGCGCATCCTTGCAAGTTTTCGTGGCACTCCCGCTGCAAAGGGATGCCAGCCCGCACACAGGGATAGTGACAGTGCCAAGGCAGCCTGGCGGCACATTGATCCTGCACCATGCCAAATAAAGGCAGAGTCGCCCGAGCCCATAGTGTCCCTTGAGGTACGACCATACCAACACCAGCAACAATGTCTGCTATGTGCAGCGGCACATATGGGCCATCCATGCTGACACCTGTATAGCCCGAGCATCCTCCACTCTCAGTTAGGGCATCCACAATTGCCAGCCGAGCTGGTGAAGTTCACACCAGCAAGAAAAACGCTTCAGCTGTAAATGTCCCACAAGCACCCATTGCGATGGAGGCACTTTTTTTGCCTAGCGAAGGATGCAAGCAGCAGATAGAACCCATTCAACGAAATGTCCTTACACACCAGACAACAAGGCGTCACACAGCAGATGTCAAAGGCCAAGTTTTGTCACCGGACCTGTGGCACCTGTTTGTTGCAGGCGTAGGATAGGTATGTAGTCCACACTAGGGAGCATGTGCTCATGTACAACACCTGTTTGTCCACTGGCACCCAACAGAAATTGGTAATGGAAACCGGCACCCAGAATTTCCAACCTGCACACATACACAGACGGCATCAAAGAATGATGCACTCAAATTGATTGTGGTGTACAAATGTGGGAATCCTCTGTCCACAGCTGCGCTGTGTTCTCCATCCTAGGTGTGTGTAACAAACACGCTCAGAAGAACAATAATCGCACACTGCCATTTCATGCGAATTGCACATGTGAAGGTGCACTTATGGCATTGAAGGCAGCAGCTCAACCACACATATTTGTCATACATGTTGCTTTTCTTCACCGTGTATCTATTCAGAGGACGCACAATTTCTGTTCCAAATTCTGTCAGGCCTTCCAGCAGCCTCAACCACAACAGGCACACAAGCCAACACACGGCTGGCTGAGAGATAAAAGGCTGCCAGCTGATTTTGGACAGTTCAGTGGGACAGGGGCAAGCGCCTGCAACTGTGAACGGCATCCAAAAACTTTTCGTGACTGATCATATGGGGTTGGCATTTTCCTTTGCCGATCAATAAGGATTCATTCCATACCAGCCCCACCTGTCACGAGCGTTGTCAGCAGGTCTGCTTTGATCTTGCCTGGGATGAGGTGTGCTTGTTGCTGGAGGCCCAATGTCCACGCAAAAGCAACAATCGCAACTACTGGACCGAGAGCAATTTGGTTGAGGGTGACCTGTAGGAGTGACATGGAACACTTTACAACAAGGCATCGAGGCAATGGCACTGTATCGAATGCTCACGTCAGGACAGCAGTTGCCGCAGACACACCAGGGACATGGTATTTTGTGCAAACAGGTAAAAAACCAGAATTTCCAACCTGTGCCTTGGTCAGTCCTGGCAGATGCTGTGTTCCCACCTTGGTCAGAAAATGGCTTGCAGTCCTGAGGGGGAACTGATGGCCGAGGATCGTGTACCAGTAGTGTTGCATGGGACCATACAACAAGAAGCCAAAGCCTCCCATACGCAGGGTTCGAGCAGGGTCAACTTCGACTTTGCTGCCCTCCGTGAACAGAACATACACACTCATCGTAACATCAAACAGTGTGCTCCAAATTGAACAACGATCGAACGTGCACAATCCCTGCACATTAAGCAGACCTCCATTTCCTTCCATCCTCCAAAATACTGCTGGTTGGCGTACATGTTGTTGACACCAACTAAGTTGTCAAGTATGATGCCAATAGATGTAAGAGGGAAGCAGCGCAACCTGCAGAACAGCACGGCCCAATTGCTGGAAATGATGCCAATTGGCCGCTCAGTGCTCCAACTGATCACTGTCGAATTTGCAACAGAGAATGTTTCCACATGTTGTGAAACAGGACGTCAGACAAGCGCTCACCGGGCTAGCCATACGGCTGGTAACAATCTGCGAGAGAACATCTCCGATAGCCGACAGCGATCCGCAGGTGATGCCCGCTTTCAGGACATCCTGCAGCCCCTGCATGAGCGAACATTCGTGTCGATACGAGCATTCATTTCGAACGCGCATTCACAGAACAGCCGCCTCCCTGGGCAAGAACTTTTGTGAGACTCTTCTCCACATAACAGAAGATGGCGCGCTTTCAGTGTCGTAAAGTTTGGGCGCGGGGCAGGCGGTTGGCCAGACAACGACCGACAATGACAGTGACCCAATGTGCACAAACTGGTTTACCCCAAAGTTGGGTGCCTGCCTGCCTGCCACAGACCTCCCTTCGGCGCCAGTCCGGCGAGGCAGCCGCGGCTGGCCGACGCGGCCGTGGCCGGCAAACAGTTGGAAGGTGAGCGTTCGAGACCGCATCGCGAGTGCAACCAATGGGCGGGAAGGCCGCTCTTGACACTATGCACAAGCACGCCACAGCAGGCACAGGCCACATCCATGGTGCGAGGATGACACCAGTGCCTGCTGATGGCGACAACCCTTGAAAGCAATTAAATCACCTTCAAGATGAACCCAAGGCTGAGACAAAATTCACGAAAGTTCACGAATTTTCATGAATTCGGGCTGCTTTTCGATCCGGGTGACCCATTTTGGGCCGATACAAGTTTTGAAAGGTGTTGGATATCCAGGTAATTTGCTTTGTCTTCACTTTGACACGGCTCTGTCGCACTGTCAGTGGGCGGCGATGCCGACCTTCCAAGAACAAGCGCAACGCGGAGAAAGACCCGCGAATGGTCTGCTGCGGATGGTTTGGTACAGCCACCGCCCGAGAATAATGTAACTGGATGGCACCGGTTTGAAGGCATGTCTGAGTGGCCTGCACTGCCCATGGAATCCACGCACGCGGAATCGCCAATTCAGCAACGGAACCCTCTGCCTGCGACCTTAACAGCTGTCGAAATTCTCGCATATTATGAAGCAACTTTAGTGGTGGTTTCGAACTGTTTGCAACAATGGTCATGCATTGCCAGATGATACGCTACCGGTTACGCTGAGCAGCGTCGGGGGGCAGTGCCGCGGACAGGTGGCAACAAATACTGTTGAGGCCCAGCAGAATTCAAACACCTCCCAAGCACTTCTTAAGTACTGCCGAAGCACGCAAGCATTTGAAGGAACTTAGCAGCCTCGGACAGCTCCAGCCACGCCTCGCTGCCACCTTGTCACCGTTGGTCGCTGAATCAGAACGCTTTAAGAGGCAGTATGATGATATTGTGCCTCCAACCCGTGAGGTACCCGCACGTCGCCTGTCCATTGATTGATTGTCGTGCGTCCCGCAATGAAGCGCACAAAGATACAGTAACAGGCATGTCTCGTGTCTGTGCATGCCAGCGCGAGTAGAACTACATAAGGCCGCGGCGCGATGCTCGTCTTCACGCAAAGTCTTGGCACGATGACTGATCGGGGACTGTCAAAAGCATCATCGACTCCAAATGGAACGTGGTCCCGGGGGCCTGGTTTCTGGGCGACGGCCCCTCTCGCACTCGAATCGGAGGGCGTTGATAGGCCCAATCACGTCACGTGGGGTGCCCCGGGCCCCATGGCGGTCCAGGCTCTCATTTCTTTGCTTATTCACACGTTTGCGGGCCCGCCATGCCCGTGGCGCCCCACCCCGCACCATCGGCCCGCTGCGTCCCCTCCCCCATCTTTTCGACAAAAAAAGGGCCGACAGCCCCCAAGGCTCGCTCACCGGTCCAGCCCGCCCACGTCCGGTGCGGCCCCGCTCGGCGCGCCGCCCGCCGCAGGCAGCGGGCCCGGCGAGTCGCAGACGTTTCCCGCGAATAAGGCCGCGATCGCACACGCCGACCGGAGCCACTGCAACCATGGGGTGCTGCCAGAGCGCGCCCCGCGTCGATGAGGCGCCACCGAAGTCCCCAACCATCGAGGTACGCGCGCCCCAGTGCCCCCGCCGCCCCCCGCGCAAGTCCATTCCGCGCTCCCGCCCCGCAAGCCCCGGGAGTGTACTGAGACTGTACCGGACGCGCGCTGGCGCCCTGTCACACGACGGGAAGCGCGTGCAGGCCCCCGCCTGGCCCGCCAGTGGACACCCCATCCGGCCCCATGTCCGGCGGCGACATGCGCCATCCGCCGCGCCGGTGGCCGGCCTATCGGCCCGCCCCCCCCCGTCGCACCGGAGGGGCATCGGGGTGTGTGACGACGGGGCTCGTCACGCCTCTCGCCCGACTGAAAGATTCCGACAGAATGCGACCGGCGAGCCCGGGGTCGGCCCCGGGGCTCGATCGCGCGTCGCGCTGCGCTGGACAGTGCCGAGACCCCGGATCCGCTGCGCGGATGGCTGCACGGTGCGCGCATCGCTGCAGCGGTCGCATGCTGCGGGCCCCGCTGGTGCTTACCTGGTACCGTTCGTGGGAAAAGAGGCGTGTGTGAACCCGCGCCGGTCGTGTGTGTGTCTGCTTGCGCAGAGACTGCCCTCGCTCGTGAACCTACAGAGTCACCACAAGGTGAACCACCCCGTGGGCATGAAGGTGAGCAGGCGCGGCGCGCCATCCCCTGCCTCAAAACGCGGCCCCGCGCGGGTAACGTGGCGCGCGGGAGTGGGGCGCTCTTCGGCCCGGCAGGCGCTCACCTGGCCTTTGCGGGTCTGCAGGTGCACGCCCACAGCGCCGGGTGGCAGGCGAACGCCGCGTACGGAGACTACCACGCGGTACACACGACGGATGACTACATGTTCGCGGCGCTGTTCGACGCCCACACCGCCACAGAGGCCGCCGCGTTCTGCAAGGCGAACTGCATTCAAATTTTCCAGCTGTGCTTGCGGAGGGGAGGTGGCGACCTTCGGGCAGTGCTCAAGGACACGTTCAAGGAGCTGGACGCGCAGTTCTTCAAGTCCCAGGCAACACCTGTGGTGAGTGCGCATGCTCGAATGCGAACTGTCCCTATGGCAGAAATGAATACAACCCACACCCTGACCCTCCCTCCTAAATAGGATAAGGTGGGGGGCTCACACAAGATGTGCGCATGTCTCCTGCTGCAAAGGGAAAGGCAAGCAGAGCTATGCCACAAGTGAGTGGTTGCCAGAACTCATCACGAAGCATTCCTGGGCCCCAAGTCTCCTCTGGGACCAGGACAGTAGGGACGCTGATGGCTATGCTCATCCCAGGTTGTTAGCCCTTGGGTTGCAAATGAAGGACTCTTGGGCAATTAAAAGGACAGTGGGTGGGAAGAGAGAGACGGGTTCAAAAGGTGCACAGTCCTGAAAATGTACTTTATGCACTCTGAGCATATTTCTCCTGGCTGTTAATTTTGGTAATTTTGATTCTATGGATGTGTTGTGATTTGCAGATGAAGGCAGCATGTGGAGCAAGCGGTGTTATTGTGTATGTAGAGTTTTCCAAACACAGGTGCTATGTGGCCAATCTAGGGACAGCTCAGTGTGTGGTCGGGTGGGCAACAGGTGGGTGTTGTCTGCTGCAGGCTCCACCAATGGCTTTCTCTCCTCCATGTGTTATCTCATTTTCTGCACACTCTAGTGTGTGTTTGGAGCTGGATATCAGTCAGCTGGTCTGTTCAGTGCTGATTCCTTGCACGCTATCCTGAAATCATATTTCACCCTTGAAAAGTGAATCAGGGATGGGTGCGAGTGACACACAGGCACAGCGTATTGTTTGCTGAGAAACGCAGCGCTGCACTGAAGAGAACAGGTGACTATCTGGTGCCTATTGTGGCATGTAAGCCATTGTGTCACCCCTGGTCTATAATTTTCAGCCCACAATTAGATTGCAAGCAGGCTTGGGCTGTGGCGAAACATTTGTATTGTTAACAAAGATAATGTGCATGAAATGCCTGGGGTGCTAAGGACACTTACAGTTGTGTGCACATTGTCAATGTTTCAAATGCAATGGCAAAGGGCCATCATTTTTTCTCATGGTGTGGGTGGACATTGAAGTTGTGTCATGGATACAGGTGGTTTTAATTCAAAGAGCTGTGATGGGCGACTGCTGACGCACGATCACAGTGCAAGGTGGGGCATCTGATGCCAGTGTCATACTAGTGGATGATTGAAGTTTGACGGCAGATTGTCAAAGTTTGGCGATCTCTTGGCCAGCCGCCTTGTACAGCAGCAAAACGGAGCTGCGGAACCTCATTAGTGGTGCCATTCCCCGTGACCCAGCCAAGATCGCAGTTTGAGCATTCGTGAAGCATCTGCCCTTGTGTCCTGCTCAATTGTTGTACAAGGGCATACTTGAAAACCATCACTCTGCTGTGCAGGGAACATCATTATGTTTGCGTTGGTTAGAGGACGGCGGGCATGTGCATGGCACTCTTGTCTTTGTTGTTTGAGAGAGGTCACTGACCTTGGCACTTTGCGTGATTGGGTGCATGCAAGGATATGGAAAGTGGGCCTGTGGTTCCATGAGCCTTTCTGTTGCTGCCACATGAATCAAAATGGACACCATGGATGCTCTAATGGCTCATAAAAAAAAGGTTGTTTGGTGCCTCAGGGACCCAGTCCAACAACAACTGTTAAGGGATGAATTTCCAAGTGACCCAAATATTATTCATTATTATGAGGGCAAACCCATGCTGAAGGGGGTCACAAAATTGACACGTTGCATTGGGTACGGACTGGGCAAGGACTCAACGCTTGCAGGTGGGGGTAGGACAGATTCTGTTGGAGCCACAATTGGGCTGCTGGTGCCCTGCCCTATGTCCTAATGTATTCATCAGTATTTGTGGTACTTAAGACCATTTGTCTAAGGGTCATTGTAGTTTGCTTGTGAGTCAACAGCAGGGTTGCCCTTTTCTACCCTCATTCCTCATAGTGTATCTACAGAAATGGCAACAGTCCTTATGTTATTTGGAGAGCTGACGAGCTGTGTGTGTGCCATTTTTGCTGGGATGCCAACATGCCATAGTGGGTGTGTGGACGCTGCCAGAATGACACCATTGCTGTGGATACTGCTAACCTGTGAACTTTCATAAGCAGAAAAATTGGTTTGAAATGTACAAGCACAACTTGACATACAATGTGTTGACCTAATGCAAAAGAGCATGAGGTGCCTGATGCCCAAGGAACCGCAGCAGATGCTCCTGGGCGATTGATATCTCCATCCTTGATGTAAGCAGAGTCCATGGCCAACAAGAAGATATCACACATATTTTACTGTTTTTAGAGTTATCTTTCATGCCATGAAGTGGTTCCATGACTTTCCGTGTATTTGTCATTGTAGGGCATTACAACAGGGTTGGTGTCCGCAAGGTGTCGCCGCTACCAACTAGAGAAAAGCCCTACATCTCCAACGAGGCTGATGTGAGTTTACAAACTGTATACGGCAGAAGTAACACAACTGGATATTCAGCTGGTATATTTATTGGTAGAATTGAAAGATGTCTAACAAGTACAAAGATGACAGAGCTTTCTTTTGCTTCAAGGGAATGTGGTGGTTGACCAGCGATTGTTGTTCAGGAACACGCGAAAGAACGAAACAAACTCTGAAAGGTGTCGACTGCCCCTTTCCCTGCAATCTCTGTTGCAACACGTTTCGATGAATGCATACCTTGGCCACAAACAGTTTCTGCCCCCTGTCCCCCTTGTCCCTCAACCACTACCCTGTGGAGCGAAGGGAGGATCTTCTTTGTGTTGGAAGGGAAGCGGAAATAAGAGCTCAAATCACTTCTGTTCCTGGCCAGGGTCCAGTGTTTTGGGCAGAAACAAGCTTGTGGGACATTTCCAGTGAACACATTTATCAAAAGTGTGGCAGACAAGATCCTTGCATTTGGATGTGACTTGCGATGCTGTGGCCTTGCAGGTTGCTGTCCATGACCTATCGCCCCAGGATGAACACATCTTGCTTGTGTCAGAAGGCGTCTTGCAGCTCTTGAGCCCAACAGACGCCTCACTGTTCTGCAGTCAGTTCAGTCATGCGCACCTGAGGATGCTGCACAGGGAATTGTCACAGCAGATGCCCTCCACTTCAGCAACAGAACAGGACCTAGGGCCGTCAACTGCAAGTCCGGCGGCTGCGCTGGTGCGTTATACAATGGTCAAAGCTGCAGACAACTGGAGAAGGTGAGGGCTGTGTTTGGCAGAGTCAGCATGTGGATAATTGGATCAAATAATATACTTCCTCCGTCCGCAAATAAATGAAACAGTTTGTTTAAGAGGCTATATTTGTATCACGAATGTGTTAGTTTTCCTTCAAACTTGGATCAAAGCACTACCTACACATTTGCTATGTACTGCCAAATTTTTGTGGACAATGGATATGTACCGTCCACATGGCAGTACTTTGAACCCTTGTGATTCAGGCCAAAAAGTCGAGGTTTCTCAAGGTCTGGCCAAACAGCCCCCAAAACAGGCCAGGTCACCTTGCGGCTGACGGTGCGCAGCCCAGAGTGGATATCTGTTGCTGCCATCTTGATGGCAGGTCGACACCATTCCTACCAAAAGGGGAAGACCACGAAACCATGTTCTGTACCTCTCGATCCTTGATCGCCACCGTGGCTTTGATGGCCTTATGAGGACAGCAGCTCCGGATTGGAGACCCAGAAATCTGCGAACCCCACAACCACGGCTTTTGCAGAAAGGGCCCCTGCCATGGGCGAGGACGCCAGGGGTGCTAAGACCACCACAGAAGGTTTGGGAGAATGTGATCGTGCCCTCACTGCGTGGCAGCCAGAAGATCGTTGAAACTGGCCGTGGTAGGCAGGTGCCGCGAGAAACACTTTGCGCACCATTCACGCTGCTTTCAAGGGTGCCGCTGCAACTGAGCTTCGCCCGTGCCATTGCAAGATGCAAGAATGCCACCATAGCGACACGTGGGGTCTCCAACAGAGCATCCAAACCCTCCATTGTCTTGTTTGGCAGGGTTGAAGCCTGTTTGGAAAGAGGGTTTGCTTGCATCAGGAAAGCATTTAATTGGAGATCTGTGCTGAACACAGAGCTTATGTTGCATGCAAATATCCCACGGCTAGTCTTTAGCCACCAGGAGACCTCTAGGCAGTGGGGGATCCCAGGCATGTCAGTGTGCTGCTGTGGAAGATGGGGGGTTTTTCAAGCATACATCGATGGCGGTACGCAGACATAGGTGCCAATTCTGTCGATCGTGCATTGCGAAGGCTGTCGATCTTTGGGCTAGAGCCCAATCGCCGAGGCAACTTCCCCCTTCTGATACTTTGGAGACCACTGGAAAGGGCATCACTTGTGCGCCAGGCCTTCCTGGGTCCGGGGCAGTAGGTTTTGGTGGGGTGGGGTACTGACTGCGAATGTTCAAATTC